GCAGCCACCGCCCTGCGATCAGAGCCCCTTTTTTACATGCTCTCTGTAGAAAAGCAGACTTGAAAAATTAGATTCTAATGTAATTCAGGAGGAAAAAGCTTGGTGTGGCAGCCTTTAGCTGTCTAGGGCTGCAGCTCTCAAAATCTGTGGGACGAAGGCAACCCTAAAGACTCTAGAAACTGCAGTTCCAACATATCTCGGGGTGTTAGTTTGGGAACAGATGTCCAGGTTCAGTCCTTAGAAGGGAGGAAGAGATGCACCTGATCTCACATTCCAGACCCATAAACTCACATGGTTTCCATCCCGTCTAGGAAGAATTTGTGTTAGCTCTAATGTTTTTTTAAAAAGAGGCAGCTAAAGATTTTCACACAAATTTGTGCCAGCCAAATTTAATAGGGATATATATGCCCAGCATGGAGAGAATCTTGTTGCAACTGCCTGCCAAAAAGCTGCTACAAATGAAGAACCAGTCAGAAAAAAATCAGCAGATTAATGCCACACCACAAATATTGCTGAATATATTCAAACCAAGAATCTCAAGAACCTGGATGAACAGATCTGTCAGTTTTGGTACTGCCACCCTTCTGCCTGTTAAAATCTCAAGAGTCCTTCCTGTTCCAGAAATGTCTAAATTCTGCTAGACTATAACAAGCAGGCAGGCAGACAGACAGACAGACAGGCTTGCCCTGTGTGCTGGATACCTCCAAAACACAGTTATATTTGCTAAGAGCAGAACTGTTCCCCAGCACTGCAGGAGGATTCCCTCCTGGTTGTAGAACTCCAAAACAGAGTTAAAACTAAGTAAGATTAAACCCTGGGAACCCACAGAAAGTTTAACAGCCAGGAATCCTCCATTGGTGGAGATTCGACTGGTCCAGATCCAAAGGTCCTTGCCTCCTGCAGCTTGGAATTGGGCTAAGAAATGGTGGTCGAAAAGCCCAAACGGTGGTCGATTTGCATTGCTGGTCCAGGCAGGAGGCCTCCACCCCAAAGAGAAATATCATGGTCTGTAGAGGAAGGTGGAAATACCTTGATGAAGGCATTCGGGAGCCGTGAGGAAGGCAGAAAGACAGCTGAGTCCGGAGGAAGAGGAACGTATGGGAGGGGAGCGCCTTGACTCCCTTTGGTATAAGAGGGGGCAAAGAAAAACCCTTGGGGGCTTTCAAGATTCTTCAGTTATATCCTACAACAATCGTGGCACTCCTGTAATCCTGGCCATGTCCATTTCCTGACCTGGCCTACCTCAAAGGGCTGACAGGGTCTCAAATACAGCTGCACAGGTGGGCATCTTGGCGCCCACAGACACCCACCTGCCCTGGTTCAATTTCAGGCAACGGAGTCCCCAGATAAGGCACTATTTATTTATTTATTTATTTATTTAATTTAAGCGATTTACGTGGCCGCCCAAATCACTCACGGTGACTCCGGGTGGCTTATAGAAATAAAAGCCCCAAATTCAAAACCCACCACACTAGGAACTGTCCTGTTTCCAGGGCCAGCTGAGGAGGGTCTCGGCCTGTTGCCATGGCTTTGGGGTGTTGCTGGGGCTCACGGAAGTCAAGGCAGGGGTTATCTGAACCTTCTTTGCCCGTTTTGCTTTTTCTACCCTCTGGGGATCGTCTGCCCAAATTCTGTGGCAAGCTACAGACGGACGATGTGCCAGTGTTTCAGGAAAGAAGAAGTGAAATGCGTGGGCTGAGCCTGCGACAGGTTTCAGGCACGTGCTTCGACTTCTTTGCTTTTTGAAATTCAAGCCCCCCAGATCATTTTAAGGGTGTTTTTTGAAGAAGCGCAGATTCCTCCCTGCCCTCCTCCTGATGTCCTCTCCCCGCTCGCAGCCCCAGGGGCCCGGGCCTCTGAGATCGTCACGGTGGGAAGAAGTGTGGCCCCTTCTCTTGGGAGACCTCTCTGTGCCCAGGCGTTGCAGGACTCAACCGTCTTCCTGCAGACCATCCCGTACACACACACACACACACACACACACACACACACACAGACCGGTTCCCAGGCAAAGGTCTGTCCCACCCATAGTGGACCAAACCACCACGGAGGATCCCTTTTGCTTTTGCCCTCGGGCGGATGGTGGGTGCGCATTATGGTTTAATCAACGCGGTCCCTTTTTCCGGATTAGTTAACAATGGGGAACAGGCCCCACCCGTCTCTCCGTGGCAGATTTGGCTTGAATTCCTTCTCCAGAATTTAACCGGTGTGGTGGTAAGAGACATGCCAATTAGGCCAGTCAGAAGCTTCTTTCAGGAAAGGCGGGGAGGGGGAAGATAATACATTCGGTTGTTATTACAAGGGAAGCCATCAATAATAAAAAGCCTTGCCTGGCTCTATGTGGAAATTCATGGACCATTAAAAAAAATAGAGCACGTTGTACCGCCTGCAGCACCATGTAGATACATTTCATTATCTTTCCTCTTTACAATGAACCAGCCTGGGAATTTTTCCTCCATCCTCTTTGTACAGAGAAGACTCTGACCTCCCTTTTCCAATCTTGCTCTATGAATAGGATTAATTTCTCCTCTGCCGGCTAACTCTGGAAGTGAAACGCGTGTCCCTGAGTCTGTGTGTCTGCCTGGGGAGGGTGGGGGGGGCACGCGCGTGGCACAACTCTGTCCCCATTTCCTGCAATGCAGAGCGGCCTGCCTTTTTTCCTTAAGACAAAAAGGAGATGCCAGTCTAAGTCCTCCCAGAAAGAAAAGGAGCCTGCGAACACGATGATGAAACCAGTGCTCTGGCCGAGGCATTCCTGAATCCTGGAGGAAAAGGGTCCAAGAATCCTTTTAAAGTTCAGACCCCTTTTTCCCTGACCTGGACATCAAGAGCCCCTTCTCTTCCTTCAGGTGCCTTCAGCCGGGCAGAGCCAGGCCTTGGGGTCACGGTCAGAAGTCTGGCCAGCAGACAGGAAGGGTGGGCTTGATCCATAACAAGGAGACACTGGCCCTCCAATGTGATTTATTTATATGCTAAATAGTGTAACATGGGCACCTGCGGCTCAGAGCTGCCGTGAGAGAAGACAAAATGTGGATTCCCATGTCCCTCCATTCCAGATTTATGACCCAAGAATCCTCTTCGCACCCAAAGCCACACGTGACCTCAGCCACTGGACACGGTAAAGCACTTGGTCTAAAGAAATGCCATTTCGGGTTTCTTAAAGTGGATTCCTACCAGCGAAACTGTTGGGTGAA